TTACTCTCCTCCTGTTTTATTTGTTCAAGGATCTCATTAGCCCTTTGGTAATAGCATTACTATCTGGGAGCTCTGACCCTCAAATCCATTTCAGATCACTGCTTTCCTGTGTACCCCATTCTGTGTGTATGACCTGCATTCCTTATTCTTACATATATAACTTTGCATTTAGATGTATTAAAACACATTTTGTTTGAGTATGCCTAGTCTACCAAATGATCTAAGTATCCCTCTATTACTGCCCTCTCCTCATCCTTTTTTACCACTACACTAGTCTGTATTATCTGCAAATTTTATTAGCAGATAACTTGATATTTATTTCCAGATCACTGATGAAAATGCTGAATATGAATATGTATTGAACATTTCTGCCTTTTCTACATACTTATTAACAATTTTACCATCTTCATTTAGTAATGGGCCTATCCAGTGTTTAAGGAGTTTTATGTATATTACAAATAATCACTTTTCTGTCTAACTTTTTTCTTCACAATCAGTTTTGGTCATAATTTTCTTCAGCTTAGGGGAAATAGCCAATTGATAAAATGACAAAATGCATACAGTAACAATTGGATTTTCTTAATCTAATTTAAAAGTTGCGAAGGGAATGAAGTGCTTAATTTCATCAAATCATAGTAAATTCTAGGACTCTTAGAAATTAAGCAAAAAGTGTTTCATGATAAACACTCTAGCATTAATTTAAAGAGAAATGAACTAGCTAGATAACAGCTATCAGACATTAGAATTTTATAATAGGATGAGCAAACGTAATTTTCCATAATTTGTATGAAAAATAAGGCTCCATCTACATAAAAATATGCCTGTTCTTTCAAAAAGTGATCTGTTAGCGAGAAACTGTCCTAGTTTAATATCTTCTATACGTTTTCAGCAGACTGGAAAATGATTAATTCCTTTCCAGTATTGAACTGTAGTAGATGTATTTGTTCTTGGTCCTGAAAATGACTCACTGCTTGACATCAGCAGAACAAAAGTAATATTTCAATCATAAATTTGATTTTTGAAAGGGGAATAACAGATCAAATTTGAATTCTAATGTAGTACTTGCATTATGTGCACACTAATTTATGACCTTGACAGAAATGATCAGAAATAAAGTATCCTTTCTAAAGCAATACATTAAGCAAGCAGCTTGTATGGTGACTAAGAGAACTGAAACAGAAGGTGTGAATGATACTCTTGAGCTCATACTGCTAGTTATTAAACCTGCAGTGTCTGTGTCTTATGCCAGTTTGAAAAATAGGATTAACAGTTTGGATTAATTTGAGGCTAGTAGGTCAGTTATTAAGTGCTTACATTTTCAATAATATAACACTATTAACTGAACTCTGAGAGCAGTCAGATGATTTCAGAATGAAGCGGTAGAAATTATTTACTGTTGTCATGAGGTTGAAATCAATATATGTATGTGTGAGAAGACATTTTGGTAGCAAATGCATATCACTAATTTTTGACAGCCCAGAAGTGGGGAAATGAAATAGCTGTTAAACTAGACATTATTCAGAGACACATTTTCATGAATGTAAAATACTCTTTAAAAAGAAGCCCGTCACTTGGATTTGAATAAGGTTATTCCGCTTGTTGACTTTTTCCTACTCAGTCTAATCTGCCTCCTTCCCACTGCCAGCGGTGGATAAAAGAGTAGTGATGACTATATAACATTTCCCCCCAGCCCTCAAAGGACTGTTTGATTTATATACGTCAATGCACTCTTAATTTTTAAGCTTAGATCAGATCATAAATCATAACTACCCCGAAATTAATCTCTATCGTCACAATTGGTAGATGGCATGTATTGTGATTCCAACTTCCTGTCATACATTTTACGATCTTACAATGCAACAAAAGTTTGATTTCATAAATTAAAGATATTTTTTGTGGTAGGCATTGAGAAGGAATATTTTTTTATTGGCACAGGATCCTCCTTCACTGACCTAAGTGACTTTGGAATGATTGAAAGTTGATTGTTAGATGGTATGAAAGTTGTTTGTGGGTTGGAAACTAAAGAATCAACAGGAATTGTTGAAAGAGAGTTTACTTTCCATTTATAAGACCATAAATACGCAGGGTGCTTATACCATGTGCTTTTGTTCCTAAGCAGGGGTGTAGGTATAGCTTCACAATGAGGAGAAATCTGAGACATTCTTCAGTAAAGCAACACTTATTAAAATTAGATATTTAACTAAGGAAGGTAATGAAAGGTCATCTGTGCATTCATTCACTGACAGTTCAAATAGGGACTTTTCTTTAATGGATCACAGATGCCATGCATCCTTAACACGTTCAGAGTATCGTCTCATTATTTCATAATATCCAAAGTGCCCAATGGATGTCAGTATTGCTTCTAATAAATATAACTTGCTGTAAATGTACTGTATTAGGCATTCCAAAAATTATAATTTTTTAACACAAAAGACATTGTAAAAAAACAAAGTGATGCAGCAGGTGTGATTAGTACCTGACCTTCTATCACATCTCCTTCCTGCTCCCCTCAAAAGTCCTTACCATTTGTAGTTTTTCTTATGGCTCTTGTTCCTTACATTTACCTGAAAAAATAATAATATAAAGCAGTACCCCAAACTAAACTAGTGTTAAATTACCAGGAAACAAAACAGGGCTACCATCTCAGTCTTGGAGTGTGTCTATACTGCAGTTAGACACCTGCAACTAGCCCATGCCAGTTGACTAAGATTCATAGTTGATTTGTGCTAAATGGTTGTTTAATTGAGATGTAAACTGCCAGGCTTGGTCTGCAGCCTTGACACTGGGATCCTCCCACCTCGCAAAGTCCTAGAGCCTTGGCTACAGCCAAAGTCCAAACATCTACAGCACAATTACATCACCCTTTAGCCCAATGGTAGGGAACCTTTTTTGGGTTGGAGGCCATGGACCCACAGAGAAATCAGTCGGGGGCTGCACACAAGTGAGAAGCAAAAAAACCCAAACAAACCCTCACTGACCTGGCTCTCAACTGAAAAGGAAAAAGACACAGTCCCCACATTCCCCTAAAATCCTAGAGTCAGGATGGGGTGCAGGCTAGTAGATTGTATGTGTTCCAGCCTTGTGATGGGCAGCAGAGGTGCTGGAGCACCAGCACTGGCTCCCTAATGCTAAGGGGACCTCTGAGCTTCAGGTGCTGGATCCCAGCAAGGTGGGAGCCGCATCTGGCCCCTGAGCCTAAGACTCCCCACCCCTGCCTTAGCCTCAGCCCTGTGAGCCTGAATCATAGAATCCTAGACTACTAGGACTGGAAGGGACCTTGAGAGGTCGAGTCCAGTCCCCTGCCCTCATGGCAGGACCCAATACTGTCTGGACCATCCCTGATAGACATATATCTAACCTACTCTTAAATATCTCCAGAGATGGGGATTCCACAATCTTCCTAGGCAATTTATTCCAGTGTTTAGCCACCCTGACAGTTAGGAAGTTTTTCCTAATGTTCAACCTAAACCTCCTTTGCTGCAGTTTAAACCCATTGCTTCTTGTTCTATCTTCAGAGACCAGGAAGAACAAGTTTTCTCCCTCCTCTTTGTGACACCCTTTTAGATACCTGAAAATTACTATCATGTCCCCTCTCAATCTTCTCTTTTCCTAACTAAACAAGCCCTATGCTTTCAATCTTCCTTCATAGGTCATGTTCTCTAGACCTTTAATCATTCTTGTTGCTCTTCTCTGGACCTTCTCTAATTTCTCCACATCTTTCTTGAAATGTGGGACCCAGAACTGGACACAGTACTCCAACTGAGGCCTAATTAGTGCATAGTAGAGCGGAAGAATGACTTCTTGTGTCTTGCTCACAACACGCCTTTTAATGCATCCTAGAATCATGTTTGGGTTTTTTGCAACAGCGTCACACTGTTGACTCATATTTAGCTTGTGGTCCACTATAACCCCTAGATCCCTGTACTCCTTCCTAGACAGTCGCTTCCCATTCTGTATGTGTGAAACTGATTATTCCTTCCTAAGTGGAGCACTTTGCATTTGTCTTTATTAAACTTCATCCTGTTTATCTCAGACCATTTCTCCAATTTGTCCAGATCATTTTGAATTATGACCCTATCCTCCAGAGCAGTCGCAACCCCTCCCAGCTTGATATCATCTGCAAACTTAATAATAGTACTCGCTATGCCATCATCTAAAATTTAAATAATTGATGACGATATTAAACAGAGAGTCTCAAAACAGACCCCTGCGGAACCCTGCTTGTTATACCTTTCCAGAAGAATTGTGAACCCTTAATAACTACTCTCTGGAAACGGTTATCCAGCCAGTTATGTACCCACCTTATAGTAGCCCCATCTAAGTTGTATTTGCCTAGTTTATTAATAAGAATATCATGTGAGACCGTATCAAATGCCTTACTAAAGTCTAGGTATACCACATCCACTGCTTCTCCCTTATCCACAAGGCTCATTATCCTATCAAAGAAAGCTATCAGATTGGTTTGACATGATTTGTTCTTTTCAAATCCATGCTGGCTGTTCCCTATCACCTTATTATCTTCCAAGTGTTTGCAAATTATTTCCTTAATTATTTGCTTCATTATCTTTCCTGGCACAGAAGTTAAACTGACTGGTCTGTAGTTTCCTGGGTCGTTTTTATTTCCCTTTTTATAGATGGGCATTATATTTGCCCTTTTCCAATCTTCTGGAATCAGAGGCCACAGGTCAGATGCAGGCTTTTAATTGCAGTATAGACATACCTGTAGTAGCTAACATGTGGAGTCCTTAAATCCCCTGCTGTAGAACATGTCTGGTCAGCAGCCTCCAGCCCTTGCTCATTCTTTTCCAAAGGGTGGAGATAAGTCACGCTGCAATTAAACTTTTTATTTGTTAGTGGCCTAGTAGTGTCCATTTATTAAAATATTATATATAATATGAGGACAATATTATTTTTAATTGCTGTGTATCATGCTTTCTACATTGGTTTTTGTCATGAATCTTCTAGAGAAATAATACCTTTTTTCTCCTTCTGTTCCCCAGGTGCTGTTCTTTCTTTGATTTGTCATGACTCTTATGAAGCATTGTGCCAGATCATCAACGTGTCAGAAACACAGGCCTCTTTCTTTACCTATCCAGACAGTCATTCCAATGAAACAAACCTGAGTGTTTCCACATCTGCAGGAAGCAAATATAGGCTCTATGTAGGTGTAGCTTTGGCAATAGGTTCTAGTATTTTTGTTGGTTCCAGCTTTATACTGAAAAAGAAGGGCCTTCTGCAACTGGCTGACAAGGGAGTCACCAGAGCTGGTAAGAAATGTTTACTTGCTTATTTTTGACAGAAAAATCAGTCTATTTCTTCATCATAAATCAGCAAGTTCAAGGTTCAAAACTAATGATGTTTTCTGTAGTTGTCTACAGATAGTATTGTATGTAACCAAGGTATTTCTAATGCACCCATTACAATAATATCTAGGTGTCAAAAAAAAGTTCTTCCACTGCCCCACTCCCAAAAAAGATTTTCACTGTTTCTTGCCTTTCAGTATGAGTGAGGGAAACATTTAACTTATGATAATACATAGGGTTGCCAGATCTCTGGTTTTGAACCGAACAGTCCAGTATCTGAGCTTTCTGTTCGGGAAACAGATTGAGAAAATATAAATGTCCGGTATTTTCTAAATAAGATGTAATGTAGACTGTGATGTAATGTCAAGTGTGTCCAGTATTTTTGTTGAAACCAACTGGCAACCCTAAAATACAGTTATAAAAATAGGTGTTTGAATATTTCCCCAGATTGTGGAGTTGCAGGATGTGGAATTAGGCAGTCTAAAGAGAACTGAACTCTATTTTTGTAAATTAAGAACTATCAGGACAAGTCACTTCAAAACAGAGTATTAATAAAAACTTACTAGCTAACTGAACAGACTGACAGAGACCAGAAACTTCAGGATCTCTACCAAGCATGTATAAACCTCAACTACCCACCCGGAGAAATAAAAAAACAAATTGAAAGAGTCAGACAAACACCCAGAAACCATCTACTTCAAGACAGACCCGAGAAAACCAACAATAGAACACCACTTGTCATCACCTACAGCCCCCGACTTAAACCTGTCCTACACATTATCAATAAACTACAACCTATACTGGAACAGGATACTAAACTCCGAGAGGCTCTGGGAGACAGACCCATAGTCTCTTATAGACAACCACCTAACCTCAAGATGATTCTTACCAACAACCACAGGACATACCACACTAATACCAACCCTGGAACTTTCCCTTGCAACAAACCCTGTTGCCAGCTTTGTCCACATATTCACTCTGCTGATACCATTATTGGACCTAACCAATTAAGTTATAAGATCAAGAACACATATTCCTGCTCATCCAGAAATATAATTTATGCTATCATGTGCCAACAGTGTCCGTCTGCTATGTACATTGGACAAACATTTCAGACACTTCGCCAAAGAATCAATGCACACAAAACATATTAGACAGGATCACAAAGAAAAAACAGTTTCTTGCCATTTCAACCAGAAAGGGCATTGTCTCAACGACTTAACTACCTGCATCCTGCTTCAAAGACATTTTAACACCAGACTTGAAAGAGAATCCTCTGAACTGTCATTCATGCTTAAATTTGACACTTTACACCTAGGTCTCAACAAAGACGCTAATTGTCTTACCCATCACAAAGATAGCTTCCCCAATTATCACTGCTAATATCATTAGCTCACAGACAGTTACTTCCCCTCCTCATCCTCCCTCTGTTCTGAAATTTGATTTGTCCTTTTCATATGTGTTCATTTTTTTGATTGTATCCTTTGGTATATATGGTCATGCCAATTTTCTTCCACTATTTGATCTGAGGAAGTGGGTCTGGCCCATGAAAGCTCATCACCTAATAAACCATCTTGTTAGTCTTTAAAATGCTACCTAGTCCTGTTTTTTGAACATGCTGTGTTCTTAACAGTTGTATAGTACAGGAATTATCTCCACTGTAAGAGAGAGTTGGCCTAATTTTATTCCCATCAAAGTCAATAGGAATAGAGTGGTGTGGAGTGCTTTTGAAAATCCCACTTTGCTGGTATTAGAACTATCACTACATGTTTTTGAATGTTTTGATTTTGTTTCAGTTTGCTATTTTCCTTTTGTTTGGAATGTTTCTAGCAAACAATAATACCCTAGCATTCTGGATATTCTCAGTATTTGAGGAAAAATGGATTTCCCAGTATATAACTTGTTTGTATTTTGGAAGAGAAACCTGCAGTAGCTGTAGCAGCTTTGCTTTTTATGTAGTTTATTCCAGATGCATCTTGGTATAGATAGCTGTATAGTCTCTGATGTAGCAAAGCACTTAAACATATGCTTTATTTTAAGCATATGAGTAATCCGAATTAATGAGGTAGTATTATTCCTTCATGTGTCTACTGAAATTCATATTCAGCAGACAGGATCTGAAATAATATAATTTAATATTTACAGTCGTATTTCATGAATAATTCAAAATTAGGTGTAGCTGATTCTTCCAGTGTCCCATACAGACTGAACATGCCACTTGAACTGCTTTAATTTGAATACATTTTATAGTCTACAGAATTTGAAATATTTATTACAAATTTTAATTTTGAAGCATCATTTTAACTTTTTTTCTAATATTAAAAATATTTTTCAGGAGAAGGTGGATATTCTTATTTGAAAGAATGGCTCTGGTGGGCAGGATTACTTTCAAGTAAGTCACAGTAAAAATGTTTCTTTCTCTGAAACATCTAAAACAGAGCAATATGTATAACTTTAAAAGGGATATTCAAATTTTTAATAAAAAGACTTCAAGGTAAAAAGGCAACTTTTTTTTCCACCTGGCAAAGGACTTTATAGAATCCTAGGGCTCATCAAGTCCAACCCCCTATCCAAAGCAGGACCAACCCCAACAAAACCATCCCAGCCAGGGCTTTGTTAAACCGGGATTTAAAAACCTTGAGGGATGGAGATTCCGCCACCTCCCTAGGTAATCCATTCCAGTGCTTCATCACCCTCCTAGTAAAATAGTTTTTCCTAATATCCAACCTAGACCACCCCCACTGCAACTTGACACCATTGCTCCTTGTTCTGCCATCTGTCACTACTGACTTATTCCAAATTTCATTTTGGTACCCAGGATATATTTTCATGAAATACTGTTTTTTGCTTTCCAAAACTCTTTCATGAATGAGAGTTTGCTTTAATGACTAGTTGAGGTTAAACTGAGGCTTGTTTGTTTGATTTTTGTTCTCTTTCCTTCTGCTCCCAATACTGTTAAAGAAATTTAGGAGTACAAACTGGACTTGCATGGCAGGAGTAAAAAATAGTACATGAAATGCTCTCCCCACCACTATCATTATTGTTATATTTTAATATACTAACACAGTACTTTAAAAATGTGTTCCTGTGTGTGCACTAACTTTGTGATATCTTTATTTTGGTTATGTCCAGCAGTAATTGATAGATATTTAGAATTCTGAATAGAATATTTGTACCGCAAGTTGCCCATCAGGTTAATGTGATTGTGGATCACTAGACATTTTCCTGACGTTGATTATCCACATGCATTGGCATCCCGCAACTCCCAGTGGCCATCGTTCTCTTTTCCTGGCCAATAGGAGTTCTGGGACGTGGCACCTCTAGGTGAAGGGGCCACAGGGATGTACTGGCCGCTGTTTTCTATAGCTCCCATTGATGAGGAACAGAGAATCATGGCCACTAGGAACTGTGGGGGTGGTACCTACTGGTGGCCAACATCAACAAAGTGTCTTGCAGCTACAACCGTATTACTATGATGGACTGCACATGGCCCATAGGCTGCAGTGGCTACCACCATTTATAGTAGATAATAAGAACTAGTATTTTACTTCCTACTATCTTGTCAAATATTTTATCTTCTGTCTAGTACTCATCATCTTAACACTTCTAATACAGTGAAAGCATTGTTATCAGGCACCCATAGAGAATGGGGGTTGTTGGTTAATTAAATGTGCCTTATAACAAAAGCTTATTGCTCTGCTCCTGGCAGCTCGAGGCAGAATGAGGGGGAAGGAAGCAACTTGCTTTTGATGTCAGCCAGCAGTACCAGCTGTCAAAAGGCCTGCAATGGCTAGCTAGACAGTCAGGAGTCAGGTGCGTGTGCCTGAAGATATGGTGGTATTATGGCTGGGGGCATGGGCAGTCAGTAATGTAGGCAAGGGAAAGCACAACCTTCCCAAAACTGCCTACATGCCTGACTGACGAAGGCTGGGGCCACCAGTGGGGAAGACTGGGGCTGAGGGAGTGATGGAGCCGTGGCACAGTAACTCGGCTTCCCTTAGCTGCCAGGGAGGGATAGAGCCGGGGCCGCAGCACTGCAGTCCTGGCTCTCCATGTGGCCAGGATGGATCAGGCTGGGAGTGGGCAGGGGCTAGGCTCAGACGGGGCGAGGTGAGGTGGGGCTGGGGCTTGCCTTCCCCAGCTGGGCTTTCACCCACCACCGATGGCTGGGGGCAATGCCAGTTAACAGAGTTTTCCAGTGCCAGATAACAAAGCTTTCACTGTAGGATTTTTTTCTATACTAATATTGTATCTTTTCTAGTGGGAATAGGGGAGGCTGCCAACTTTGCTGCCTATGCCTTCGCACCTGCAACCTTGGTTACCCCCTTGGGTGCACTGAGTGTTCTTATAAGGTTAGTATGAATTGAAAGGAACCACTGAAAAGTTAGCCTTTTTCTATATGAGAAAATACTGTATTTTTTGTACAAGGAGGAGTTTTAAAAGAAAATCCAGGTAAAAAATTGCTTCATAGATTACAAAGCCAGAAATGACCATTGTGATCATCTAATCTGATTGCTTGTATAACACAGGCCATAGAACTTTCCTCAAATAATTCTTAGAGCAGATCTCTTAGAAAAATATCCAGTTTTGATTTTAAACTTGTCAGTAATGGAATCCACCATGATTCGTGATAGATGAGTGGTTTTCAAACTTTCTCATGATCCAGTGGAAGAAAATTATTGATGCCTGTGACCCAACATCATTTGACTAAAATGTGGGCTGTGTGGTGGGGCTGAGGATGAGAACATCACTTTTGGATCAGGGCTGGGGCAGAAGGGGATGCTAAGGCAGGCTTCCTGCCTTTTGTAGCACCTCAGACCATGCTGTGCCCCAGAAGCAGCCAGCAGCAGGATCTGCAGTGCCAGGACAGGCAAGAAGCCTGCCTTAGGACCCCCACTGATCACCCTGGAGCAATGAGACCCAGTGCCTGGCATTCCATGACCCAGTCCTGGGTCGTGACCCGTAATTTGAAAACCACTGGACTAGATTGTCATGATGGTCCCTTTTGGCCTTAATGTCTATGAGACTTGATTACAGAGAGAAAATACTGAATACTTGAGGGTTACTGGGGGGTGCGCCTCCTACTTGCTATGCTCACCAACTGCCCTCTCTCTGGCCACTTTTGCGGCCAGAGAGTCTGATAATATCATTCCATCGTGCATCAGGAAAATCTTTTTTATATAGAGAGATTTTGTTGAGAAATGAAAGGGATAACAAGAACCAATGGCTCAAAGTTAGAGCCAAACAAATTTAAATTAGAAATAAGTCTCAAGTTATTATCAGTGAGGGTGATTAATCATTGGAAAAATATAGCTACCAAGGTGACTAGTGGATTCTGCATGTCTTCAGATCCTGACTGGATGCCTTTCTGGACTTTGTTTTATTCAAAGTCAAGTTGCTTGAAATCCTATAAGAATAATTGGTGAAATGAAATGGCCTTCCATATATCGGAAGTCAGACTAGATGTTCTCTGTGGTCTCAAAATCTAGTAATTACAGTATATCAGTAATTATATCAGGTTTTTTTTAAGATTCCAGTTTTTATCTAGCCATGCACTTCTCGATTTGCTTGTTTGCATTAATGTGTACTCAGGGGCACAGCTAAGGGGCATGCATACCCACAGCCACAGGGGGGCCCAATCCAGAGGTGAAAGCTGGTGTGCCTCAGTGCAGCACTCCGGCAAAAGGAAGCCAGCGGGGTGAGGTATTAGATGCAGCTGCTCTCAACCAGGCTTCCAGGGCTCTCCTGAGGCTGCCTTGCTAAGCAGCAGTCAGGAAGATGAAAGGAGCTGGCTAAGGGTGTGCAAGCCCTCCCCACTGGACAGGGCCTGCCTCATCCCCTAGACTTCCCCCCATCCCCCAGTCCCTTTAGAGAGGATAGCGGGAGCTGCAGCCACATATACCCAGAACTCTGTGACAGGAAAGTGAGCAGCTTGTGCACCTTCCTTTTGCTCCCAGCTGCTATGGGGAGGGGCAGAGAAGATTTCACATAGTCTGCACTCTTCCCTTCAATCCCTGATTATCAGGGGAAGAGGAAGAGCAGCAGTGACCCAGTATGTCCATCGGCAGCCCCACTGCCTTCCCAAAATTCTTGTCTCCTCCCCCCTGTACTCACCCCATACCTCCCAGCCTCCTGCTCTGACCCCCCTCCAGCTTTCTGCCCTGATTCCTGTACCTCCCACATCCCCTTTTACCTGAGCTGCCCCATCCCCAGCCCTTTTCCTGAACCCCTCAAACCCCCCTGCTCTGAACCCCCTCCCATACTCTAACCCTCTGCCCTGAGCTCCCACACACATACACTCCACCCCAGTTTTTTAGAGGGACTGTTGTATTTCACCCTCTCACATCCTGGGTGCCCCCCCCCCAAAAGGGAGTGCAATATGACAGTACCTATAAGAAGCTTAAGTTACTTTCACACCGGTCTTTAAATGAAATACGAGGCACAATTAAAACAGTGCAAACTTATTTAACCATTCTTTAATACACTAGAAGATGTGGTATAACAATTAACACTAGCTAAGCAGTAAAGCTCAAGAGGTAAGCCATGAAAGAAGGAGAAGGGCAAAGTCATACTTTGCATGCCCCCCAGAGCAGCTAGTTGTGCCTCTTTTAGGTGTACTTAAAACAAGCTGTTGTATTCACCTAAAACATGTTAATTATATTCCATTTACCTACAATGTCTCCTTGGCGTTTCAACTGGATCATATCACTTTCTGTCCAAATCTACTGTAAATGTTACTGTGCACACAGTTTCAGAAGTAGATAAAAGGATTTCTAGGTGTATCTATGTTTGAATACTGCATTCCATCTCCATGTTATCTGACTGCACACAATCCCTTATCTCATAGAAGAGAGTTGAGATGCTTATCTGTTCGTGAACACCGGTATCTTTCTGTGACGATGTAAATGCCAAAGTAGTATAATTATATTGTACTAAAACAAATGCAAATTTTAAAAAGCTGGCACATGACTGGGGCATCGGTCTTGCTCAGATTGTATGTGAAAATGATTTAGTTACAGTCCCAAATGGTTGTGGTCCAACAGTACTACACGCTGTCTTCTACTTTACAGTCCTGTGTTTCCCTTGCCACACTAACTTCAGAAAAGCCAATCTCCAGCTTTCTAAACTTCGAAACTTCGGGGTCATTAATTCTTTAAGTCTTTGTTCTATGGTTTGTATGTCAGTAGGGCTTATGTTTGGTAATTCATAGATATATATCCAAAAGGAAATATGACTGGATATACTGGAGCTCAGTCTGACTTTGTAAAGTTATGGGGAAGGATGGAGAGAGAAGAGTCAAGACTTGTTGGAAAGCTGTAGAAAATGGGGCAAGACTTATCTGACCTTTATCAAATTAAAAAAGCTTTGGAAAAAGGTTTGATGGTTTTGTTGTTTTTTATGTATCCTCAGCTGGTTTCCTCATCCCCAATTCAATGTTTTTAACTAGTATAATTATACATAAAAGCGTTATGATTATATTATCAAGTGATTTGTGCAACCGAACTTATTACTTTGTTTTTTACATCCACAGTGCAATATTGTCTTCCTATTTTTTAAATGAAAAGCTGAATGTTCATGGGAAATTAGGCTGTATATTGAGCATATTGGGGTCAACTGTGATGGTTATTCATGCCCCTGAAGAAGAGGAAGTCACTTCTTTAGATGAAATGGAAATTAAACTGAAAGATCCAGGTCTGTAACTTAAATCATCTGTATTGAATGAAAAAAATGCTTCTCAGTGTCTCTTACTTTCATAGGCATACCGGCTAACATGAGACCAGTCCATAAGTGAATAATTGGAGGGTTTTATCGTTATATGTTATCACCTCCTTCATCCCATTCACTTTCCCCTGAAGATGAAAGTGGAATTTGATATCTCTTTGGTGTGTTACTTTAATGTTGCATACCTAGAAGGCAATAATCAGGCTGTGAATATAAGCAAGCAAGACTTATGTAAAGCATCTTTACACTGATATTTAAAAAATAAACAAAGTAAAATCAGTATATACAAGAAACCCTAGCTAACTCTCAGAGCCATGTTTGTTATTGCATTAAAACCATGATAATAGTGCTTATGCTGTAGCTAATTTTTTATTCTTGCTTGTTGCTCCCAGTTCCCAATCTGCATATCTTGGCAAATATGTTGGAGGCAGAGGGCCATTTGTGCAGAAACTCTGTGTGAGCTGGTTATGACATCAGTACTTAAGGTACTAACTTTCTGGGATCAAGGCGTGCTCTGACTTTTCCTCATGATCACGTTCTTCCAGTGGCCAGCTTCCTCATTTAGCAGTCTGCCCTCTGAGTACTCTTGTGCAACAGATAGGCTTTGTCTAGACTGGCAAGTTTTTCTGCAAAAGCAGGTGCTTTTGCGGAAAAACTTGCCAGCTGTCTACACTGACCGCTTGAATTTCCACAAGAACACTGACTTCCTACTGTCTGAAATCAGTGCTTCTTGAGGAAATACTATGCTGCTCCCGTTTGGGCAAAAGTCCTTTTGTGCAAAGCTTTTGCGCAAAAGGCCAGTGTAGACAGCTCAGATTTGTTTTGCGCAAAAAAGCCCCGATCACGAAAATGGCGATTGAGTCTTTTTTGCGCAAAAGCGCGTGTAGATTGGCATGGACACTTTTCCGCAAAAAGTGCTTCTTCCGAAAAGCGTCTGTGCCAATCTAGATGCTCTTTTCCGCAAATGCTTTTAACGGAAAGCTTTTCCGTTAAAAGCATTTGTGGAAAATCATGCCAGTCTAGACGTAGCCATGTTGTCTGCAAATCTTGAGTCATTGCAACTTCCTTTCTCCTCTCCTCCATGTCTTCAAATCCTCATTTAAACTCCACCATCCTCTCCAGCTGCAGCTCATAGCTTCTCTTCCATGAGTTCTACCAGGCAACATTTCATACATATGTGGCTTCTATTGGATACTCACTCAGGAATAATATATATTACTTAGTTTCTGCATCCAGTCATCTTTTTCTCCTCTTCTTAGATCACTTCTAGACTTGCCTCAAATGCCCTCATAGTCTTCTCTTTGCAGTTCCTAGCCTTAAGGAGGAGAGGACAAAAATCCCCCAAACTCACCTGTTTATCAGGTACAAGCTGATAACATAATAAGTCTTTAGAAATATAGGTCTTCATTGTCTCCTAGGGATACTTTTTTAGATCAGAGTCATTGGAGAAGCCCTAGCTGTGCACGGGAGCATCCCTAGACTGGCTGCCAGCAACTGGCTCCCTAGGCGAACCATGCAATCGGCACCCCCACCTCCAAATCCCTCAACGATATTGCACCACCATTTGGCGCCCTGTGGTGCCGCATTTAACTTGGTGCCCTAGGCGACCGCCTAGTTCGCCTATATGGATGGGCCACAACTGGCGCATGGCCCAGGAGTTCCCTCTATTTAATGTAGGAACTCAAAGCTTTCACGTACATACCGCTGTGCCTCTGGCATGTTCTCCAGGAGATGCCAATTTTGAGAATAAAATGTCCTGCCCTATCTTGGGGCAGAGGCCTAGAATGATCTTTTTAAAAACTATGTGAATCTTTCCTCTGTTCTTCAGCACAATCATCTAAGTTTTTCCCTGGGAAGAAGAAATCCGACTAATAAAGTTTTCATTTCCAAGCCAACTGCATGGTAATGACTAGAAATTGTTGCCCTCATGACTGATTCTGGCTTATGTGAAATGAGTTACTGGTTTCATTCTAATTTCAAGTAAATGTGGCCATATCACAAACTGGTCCATAATTGTCTGACTTAGCAGACAGTCCAAATATTCAGAAACTTGCACTGCTGCTACTAGCATTGTACATGTTCTTGGGTGAAATTAGAGTTCATCACTCTTCTTGTCTGTCAATCTGGAACCTTTAATGAATTATATACTCATTCTTTACATTATTATTAATAATAATCATCATCGTATGTATGGTGAACTCTCCAAAATAATTGGTACAGTCTGAAGCCACAAAGAAGTTTTTTGTTTAGGACTAATTTTAGGACTAACATCTAGAATCAGTGTTGACCAGAGGTGTTTGGAATAATAAACAGCACTATATAAAAAGCACCAGGAATAGCTATCAGAATCCTATTATATTCAAGCACAGCTGTGAAAAAGAGGGTGAGAGGGTTTAACAGATGATAGTATGGAAAGGTGGATTGCCCAGAGTGAGAGGTTGAAAAGCTGAGACTATCAAATCCAAACAAAAGCTATGAAATTGCCTCAGTGAAGTGAGCTTCCCTTGATTAGGCTAAAATATAATGGACTCACCCATGTGGGCAGAGAAAGTTCACCAGTATCATTTTTATAAATGTATACATAAAGTCTGATTATAGTTCATTAGTTGTATTTTAAATGGCCAAATAAAATGCATAACTTTATTTACAATTATAAGACATACTGTGCCAAAATTCTGTAAGCAGAAAGCAGGTTAGATGCTTAAACATAAATACTGGGTCAGTTTCCCTGTTTGAGTAAGTGGGTACAGCTCTGTTGATTGCAGTGGAATTATGTTTCATGGATTCGTGTCAATATTTATACTGCAGTTAGAAAAACTATATATCTTTTTATACCTACCTGAGTCTGATTTAGAATGGTCCCTCGTTCACTGTGTGTAACTTTTTTTTTCTTCCTTCCCAGTGTTTATTGCATTTGCCGTGGTTATAAGTGTGGTCTCCCTCGTGCTGATTTTTGTTGTGGCTCCAAGGAAAGGTCAGACAAATATACTAGTCTACATATCCATTTGTTCAGTGATTGGTGCCTTCTCCGTCTCATCTGTCAAGGGCCTTGGTATTGCCATTAAAGAAATACTGGAGCAGAAGCCGGTTCACCAACATCCATTGGTTTATATTTTGGTGGCGACTTTAGTGCTTTCAGTCAGCACTCAGATCAACTATCTTAACAAAGCATTGGACATGTTTAATACATCTCTAGTGACACCTATTTATTATGTGTGTTTCACCACTACAGTTGTGACGTGTTCCATCATCCTATTTAAAGAATGGAATAGCATGGACCTAGGTGATATCATTGGCAGTCTCAGTGGATTCTTCACCATAATTATAGGCATTTTCCTTTTGCATGCTTTCAAAAATACTAATATTACCATGAAGCAACTGACGTCCACTGCTATAAAAGAACCCTCATTGCCTCTGCATAGATATGATGCTCATCATACTTTATTGGAGAACATGGAGAGCCCAACCTTGGCATATGAGGATGACAATACTTTATTCCGTCGAGGAAATGCTCAGGAAGCTATGTGCCATTAAAATATCTAGAAAAGTAAAACAGATCCACTATGTCAATCAGAACTGCCTTTGCTTTTTTCCTGCAAAAAATCCCCACCCTATTTATGAAGTGAGAAAAATATTGGCAACAACACTGTATAGTTGGAGAAAGAGATAAGACACTATGATGCTAGTTATCGATTATATACAACAGTTTTCTATTCAACGCCGTAAATAGAAACCTGGTTGAGACCATTTTTCATTGCCCATATCTCTGACAGTATGAGTTTCTTCAGTCTCCTTACTGTGGTTTTGTCAATCGGAAGACTTTCTTTTCAGCTGAAGAATTGCAATATATTTTTATAAAGTGCCATTTTCCTTCATAATATGGGGAATAAACAGTTTTATTGAGAAAAGAGGCACTCTATAGCTATATTAGTAAAGGCATTACTAGAAAATATGACCATTTAAAAAACTGAAATGCTTAATATATAATTAGTGTTATATAATACAACTTTGAAGCCATCCATTAACAGATGTCCTGAAGAAAACTCTGACTTCCCCCGATAACAGTTATACACTAAAACTTAATTTGTTTAAATGAGGACTTCATTTGTGAGCATTGAACCCAGTACAGATATTTTGATATTTATAAAAAAACCTACATTTGTAGCAGTTTTCTGATATCTAATTTCTGCAAACTTTTCCTATTTTCCTCTGTTAGTTTTTGTTTCTTGACATTAAAGTCAAGTTCTTCTAACTGGGATGCTTATACCTTTATAACGTCTTTCTCTACCTTTCTTATGGCCAAGAATCTCCCGAAACTGAATAATATTTTTTTGGCTAAAAATAAGTGCATACAAGTTTTCAGTAAGACAAAAACAACTTATTTCATGGAAGGCAGGCAATATGTGCTCAAACTCTTCCAAATGGCAAAATCTCTTCATGCTTTCCATAAGCCTTCCAATAGTAATGAAAGCAATACTCAGTATGTGACATCATGCAGCTCAGCAAAAGGTCATCTAAAGTAGAGTTGCTGGATTGATGCTTTGACTAGAATATATAACATTTACTTTAAACATAGATTTTGTCTTACTAATTATTTCAGACTTTGTTTCAACAATTAAGAATAACTGCTAATGATTCCTGTCTGGAAGAGTATGGACTCTTAAATTAAATGTAGTGGGCTTTGTGGTATCTGTGCACAGGTGTGAGTGTGGCGGAGTGGCAAGTTACAGAAGCAGACTAAGTTCCTTCTTATGCCTAATAGCAATGCAAAAGAAACAATCTGAGCAATACATTTACACAGGACTGAATGTTTTTCTATATAAAAACTATAAATGGATATGTCAACTATTTCTAATGCATTGTAGTGCTGAATGTGTATTAGGCAAAAGGAAAACTATATAATTTACTTTTTCTGTATTGAGTGATCAAGAAGCATTCAATCATTGCAGGAAGTGATTTGTCTAGCCCTATTTTCTACAGCTACTTATTATTTGCCTCACAGATGTTAACTTATCTAAAATATCCCTCTTGATGGCTATCACCTATGTTGTGAGAACCCGTATGTCACAGAGTTGACCATGAAACCTATAAAAAAAACCCAGCTGATCTGTGCATTTTATTGAACAATTTCTTTTTAACTTCTTTTCCTGCTATATTAAGAGTCAGAAAGTGACTTCAACTATAAAAATGTAGGTCCAATAGACTAGAATGGTCAAGTTTTATAGCTTCTCCTCAGCACAGCATCACCATGCAGCACGGCTTCCTTACTGATTTCCAAGCCTCCTCCTCAGGAATTGATTTTAAGATTTAACGAATTGCTCAAAAATCATGTGCAACAAGGAAGCACAAAAACATAGTTTGCAATTTGAAGAATGAAGTGTTGCTCTTTCTCCTTTTATAAAGTAAACCTGTTCTTTGAAGTGCACTTTAGTGCAGATGTATAAGAAAGTTGATTTATTGACCTTAAAGAGTTCTTTAATACAAAGAGTGTGTTTGTATTTTGCATAATTTATAAGGTTGTGTATTTTATTTATTTTGAGAGGTATTCTTAATATGTCTTATTTGCTAATGATGATGATTTTCCCTTACTATAACAATGCTTTGAAAATCATCAAAACCAGACTAATAATGGTGTTCAGCACACAAATTTAAAACCGTTTTAAACTTACTATATCGTTTAGCTTGGTTATGAGGGTGATTGGCACACATTGCTACAACTGATACAATTTGTCAATCATTTGCTGATTGCCTTTTTCCTCCTGTGAAATACTAGTTTGAAGTGATTGTCTATCTGTACTCCTCCTCAATGTGGTATATACAATATTACAGGAAATGTTGGTAATATAAGATGCTTTCTTGACTATGATAGTTCAGGAGCACAGCCTGTTATGCTTCTCAAAAAAAGTCATATGTAATAATGCTGGAGTAGTTTTAACAATGTTGCATGAAACAGGAAAAGATTCTTACAAAAATTCTTCACACCTTGGAAATACGAGTGTGCATATGGCTCTAGCTATTCTTCAGATATTCAAAATAACGAGATGCTTCTATTCAATCCCATTATTATTGGAGTTTTACTAGTCAGGTGTGTAAAATCTAACGATTCAGCACAAGAAGTGGGTAATATGTCACTGTAAATTTACACCATTAACTTTAGAGAGTTTGGCCTTTTAATAAAAACTTACATTGCTTCTCAGTGGAATTTAATTAAGCTGGTTAGAGCTTAATATTTAGGGGAAAAGTTGTACTTTTTTAAAAGGCAGTCTATTGTCACATTACTTGCCTGTGTTTTCACAAATAACTATCGCAATTGTATGTACATATGATTATTTGTCTGAACCAATGCCCTGTTAATAAATGTACAGGCATGACTGTTTTAAAAAATGAACACATACTTGTATCTTTTGGCATATTAACGTAGGCTACCTATTTTCAAACTTGGTGCTTACAAAATCTGCTTGGTTGTCATAGGTATGCCATAAGTCTCTTCTGATGAACCTGCTTAGTTTGTATTTATACACAGTTAATTTTATTAAGAAAAACAACATTTTTATGTTCATTCTTCTTTGAGTATCAAAACATCAAAATTAATTTAGTTTCATTATGTCCAAGAATACTCTAAAGTGTCAAGAAACAAATGATTATGGTTGTGTGCTGATTTTGATTCTTACAGTTATTTTAATGAATTTTAATATAAAAATTTTATATTTTTGTTGGAAATGGTTATTCTTAGTGATTTATCAGAAAGCAAAGGTTTTTATATGAAAATAAAGATATTCTACTGTTTTATCTTGTAATGAACCACCTACTCCCACTTGGTGGATTCTATGCTTTCAGGTGAATTGCTTGTCTCAGCATACACTTTTTAAAGTTACATGAAGTGTTTTTGAGGGGTGGAGGGCAATGTTCCCACTACGCTTTTCCATCCATGTGTGGATTTTTTCCCTCCACCTTTAGAATATATTTTACATGCATTGAGGTATGTGGAAAGGTGCACCTTTAATAGCAACACATCCTAACTGTGGGAGCTCTGCTAATCTATGGCCAGCAAGGCCCAAGCGTGGAGCGCTTAGTTTCTCCCCCCTCCCTCCCCATGCATGATGGGAAAGTGATGGCACTCACACAATGTTCCTTCCCTGGCCTTGGACGACGCTTTGGAGATGTCCACATGGAGGACTTGGGGCTCCTGGGTGAGCTAGGTGGTTTGGCTGGCCTCATCCAGGTCCTGGGCCGCTGCTGCATCTTTGTTGACATCGTCTGGCCCCCAGCGAGGATGACGGCTGGCGTCTCCACCCTGAAGCCTATAACTATGGGGGGGGGGGGGGAAGAAACAGACTGCCATGTCCCCCAGGATGTGGTCCACCTCCTTATAATATGGGTAGGTGTGGGGCTCTGCTCCGTATCAGGAGCTGCTCTCTTTGGCCGTGGCATAAGCCTGGCGGAGCTCCTTGACCTTCATCCACACCTGTTCTTGAGTGTGGATGTGGCCTTTTCTCCCCAGGCTGTCTGCCATGCGGCCATACATGTCCACATTCCTGCATCTGGTATGGAGAGTCTGGAGGTTTGTCTCGTCCCCCCCCAAACCTCAATAAGGTCCAGGATCTCCACATCAGACCAGGAAGATGCATGTCGTTTGCGGCCCCTGGCAGGCTCCTGGGAGCTGGCTAAATGCTCCTGGGGAGCAGTGAAAGGCTGGCTGGCACTGTCTGTCTGGCTCATCTCGGGCCAAAATGGAGTCAGGAAAGCTGCAAGGTGGCTCAGGGCTGTCAGGCCTCCTGTGAGCCACAAACCCTGCCTGCGGAGGCTTTAAGAGCTTCAGGAGAGGGGTGGGGCAATAGAGTTTTCCTGTGTGTGGCCAAAGCGGCCACCAGGGCACCTTGGGAAGGGATGAAGGCCTCCTATTTCAATTTATCCCTTAGTCACTGTCTATACAGTGCCTATTCCAAAATAGCTATTTTGGAATAGGCGCTATTCCTCATAGAATGAGGTTTACAGAACTTGAAATAAGCCATCTGCTATTTTGAAATAGCAGTTTGGCTTGTAGATGCTTGCAAAGTTATTTCGGAATAGTGCTCCAGCTCCAAATATTGGTGGAGCCTGGGCACCATGAGCCCATACAACTCGCCACCCATGGCCCGGGGTACATCTACACTTGCTCCCTAGTTCGAGCTAGGGATGCAAATGTATCTGACCGAAATTGCTAATGAAGGAGCGGTTTCCCTCTCCCTCATTTTTTGAGGAGTAACGTTAGTTCAAACCAAACCCCTTGGTTCGAACTAACATGTCCCAGCATGCACTTTCAAAACAGCTGTTGAGCAGAGTAACACACCGGCAAGATCATGCTAATGAAGGGCAGGATATTTAAATCCCTAGTTAAAATTAGGATGCAAGTGTAGATGTACCCAGAGAGAGTCACTCATACACCACTGAGTGGAACAAAGGTTCTGCTTTCTCACCAAGAGGACTCTCATAAATTATAAGTCCTGCCACTAAATGGTTCTGGGTAATTATAAATATGCATATCCTATGTACAGGCTGGTCCGGCACCCTCAGGACCAGACTGGTCCCAAACAAGGGGATTTGCCGGACAAAGAGTGGTCCCTCCCCTCCTGGCCCATGCTGCCACTAGGTTAGGGCTCTAGCCTGCTCCTGCTATTTCCCCAGCTATGCTGCCAGCCCTGCTACTGCCAGGGTCGGAGCGCCACAACCAGAGTTCTACAGCTGCCGGGCTCCACAGCCAGGGCTGGAGCTCTGTAGATGGGGCAGAGCTTCACAGCCACCTGGCTCCAAAGGTGGAGCCAGAGCTGCACAGCCGGGGCCTGGATGATGGACTGGGGCTGGAGCTCCCTGGCCAAGGCCAGAGCTCTCTGGCTGCCACTGGGACTGGAGCTCCATGGCTGCCATTGTGCCGTCTGCCTCTCTGCTGTGCTGCTCGTGCCCCCGCTCCACACACACATGGCTACTGGCTGAGTTGCTGGTGCCCCCTGTGATGCTCATGCCCTACCACCAGATCTCTCTGTTCCTGGGCTCTGTGGATGTTGCCAGGCCAGGGAGTCCTGGTTGAAGGAGGTACAACCTGTAGGTGATTTTCAAACTTTACTATTGCCAACATCCTTTTAGTTTTTTCAGGGACCTGGGAATACACCTCAGAAACAAACAACACAGCCTGTAAAGGTATGTTTTTCAAAGAAAGGCACAATGAGTATATCTGCAAAAATATGGTGTCACGGGGCACACCCCTGGTGTGGGGTGCGCCCCTTACGGTCCCGTTACCCACTATCAGGGCAAATACAACCCCAGCAGTCCTAACATAAAAGTCCATACCCTGTATCCGGGGAAATACAGCATTACCATTCTCAGCCTAAAGTCCAGGCCCCTCTATCAGGGCATATGTGGTATTTGAGGCCTACCTCCAGGAAAGACCTCTCCCAGCCGGGGGTGATTGCCCCAGGTGCAGAAAAGGGTGGTAGCGGGACCTGGGCCCTCCCTCTCCACTGGGTCCCAGCCCAGGGCCCTGTAGGCAGGGACTCTTGCTCCTGCCTGCTCGGTGGGGAATCCAGCTGATACACACCAAGCTGTGATAGAAACCCCTTGTCCTGGGCTGCTTCCTACCACCCTGGCACCCCCATAGTCTGTCCGCCTCCACGGCGGCCCTTACTGGGGCTGGCGGCGTAGGTGGTCTGGTCCCTCAGGCAGGGTGGTCTGCCAGCTTCCTTCCCGCAGTCCGATGCTGGCCCTCATTCTGCCCTCAGCTGCTGCAGGAACACCAGGGTTGCAGCCTGAGCTTTTCTACCCTCCCTCTGCCTTTATATGCTGGCTCTGCTGGGCGCGTGCCCAGCAGGGCTGGAGGGCCTGGGCTGCTCCCAGCCCTTCAGTGCGGGGCCGTCTGCCTCATCACATATGGATATACCAATTTTTCTCACAAAATCCTGTAACGAGACATGTAGATCAGCATTTATACACAACTTTTACCTACATATGTTATGGCACTGATGGGTACAAACTCCATAGTTAGGGTTGCAATCTACAATGGGATGTAAATTCATATTTTTCTCTAAAGCAGATGACCTATAGATGTAGAATTTCATACAGGATCAGTTTTTATGCCCTTCGAATTGTCTACTTAGTTTTTGTTTGGTTTTTCTTTATAATCTTTCATTAGGACTCTTGTAAATTGGGCTCTAGCTGAAATATACTGTTAGGTGGTTTCATTTTGCATGTATTTGTCTTTGAGGGTTTCTGTCAGTACAATGAATGTGGCAATATTATCTGCTTTCAAATAAAAGTTTTTTTATGTTGATATGGTATCTAAGTGATGAGTAATCAGAGAGAGATACTGACAGCAAATCTGTAATAGTCAATACTGTCACTTACCTGTGATATGTATGTGTATTTCAGTACTAGGACTCCACTGTGCTAGGCATTGTACAAACACAGAGCACAAAAACTGTACTTGTCCCCAGAATCAGAAAATCTAAGAAGATAGGAGAAAGTAGATGGGTACAGGCAGCCTGGGTGACACAAGACAATATTGGTCAGAATGATAGGCTATGGTCGTGCTGTCCCAGATATCTATTCATTGTTATGGGGGTGGGGGAATGTTGGGTAGGCATCACAACAAAGGGAAGTTTTAAGGAGGACAATGAGCTCTGTGGATGTTCACAGGGAACTCTTTCCATATAAGGGGGGCAACATGGGAGAAATAAGGAAGGTGCCTGTTTGAAAACTTTAACAAGAGGGCAATGAAAGCTGGTATCAGTAATGGAGGTAGGAAATGACATATAGTTAGCACATGATAGAGGATGGTGGAAGGGGCTGGGAAGTGCAGATGAGTAGTTGCTAAAATCAGCCACTGTAATTTGGATATATTTATCTAAACAACTCTACCTTCTCCCCTATATAGTTTAAGGGTGGATGAGCCTATATCAGCTCTCACACAGAAAATAAGTGCAAGTTCATTGAGTTGTGAATATTCAAGTTAGCTCAGATAGAATTGTTCTCCAATTTAACTGCTTCTAACCCACTGCAGGGCAGCCACCTGGTTTTGACCTTCCACTCCTTCTGTGGGCAAAGCTCATTTGCTTCAGATTAGTGATCAGATGTGCAGCAAATGACAATAAATGGGGCCTTTGTGACTCTTTATTGTGGCCATTGAGAAGATGTAGATCAGTAGTTTTCAGCCTACGGTTTAAAGCCTCTGCAGGTCAGCAGACTATGTGTAAGATTTCCAAATGGATCTGCACTTCCATTCAAAATGTTAGGGGTCCATAAATGAAAAAAGGCTGAAAACTACTCATGTAGATCATATACGCGCAGACTTTATTAATCAGCAAGAGCTTTCTCATTTCCTCATGGTCTTGCACAGTGCCCTTCCCTCAGCAATTTGACATATCTGTAAATACAATCAAAATGAAAAAAATGCTTCCAAACTCCACATGACTTCCCAGAATATTCTTAAAATTATATTGCTAGCATTGTCAAAATTCACTTTGCCTGTTTTCATGAGCTAACCTTAAAATGTAAGAATAAAGTACAACAAAAGGGATAGTAAATAGGAAGAACGTACATATGCAGCCAACAACTGACTGGAAGTATCTGTTTCTGTTCTGCACAGCGAGTCAGCTCAGCACATCTCAGTCAACTTCCCTAAAAGGCTCGGTTCTGTAGAGAAGTCACTCACCCAGGTTTACTGCTGATGAAGCACTGTTCTAGCTCCCTAGATCAGTGTCAGCAGTTACTCTAGCACATGTATGCTCAAGACCATAGACGTGCGCACGGGATGTGCCAGGTGTGCCCAGGCACACCCTAATGTCTCGGGCCGGCTAGAAGGGGATTTGTGATGGGGCGCCACAGCCCCTCATTTTAAATTCCCTGTGGCTATCTACAGGGCACTGTGGGGCAGAGAGAGAGCATGCGCGGCATCCTCAAACACCACCCAACAGGTGAGAGGGCGTGGCATGACATCAGGTCCGGGACTTTAAAACTGCACTGCCTAGCTCCA